AAACACATTTTTTTCAATCTATAAGAATAATCAGCCTACACTACCAGTCAAAGGTTTTTGACAGTAGGATTTTTAATGTTTTTTTTTTTTTTTAAGAATTCTCTTCTGCTCACCAAGCCTGCATTTATTTTATCCAAAATACAGCAAAAGCAGTAATATTGTGAAATATTTTTACTATTTAAAATAACCGCTTTCTATTTGAATATATTTTAAATTGTAATTTATTCCTGTGATCAAAGCTGAATTTTCAAAATTATATATATGTGTATATACATTATTACTATAGTATAATATATTAATAACACAATGTAAATGATACATTAAATGATACATTAAAAACAATAAAAATCTTTAAAATATTAAGATGTATTAAAACTATAAAAAATAAAAAAATGTATTATATCAATGATAATAGTCATAAAAATGTATATTATTACATATATATGTGTTTGAATGTAACTGTTTCTCACTCTCTCACATTCGACAGATTCCCGTAATAAACATCCAAATGAAAATAATTCCAGCACTTTGCACATTTATTGCGGTGGTTTTCTCGTGTACCAATTACTTCAGGGTCATATTTACAGGCGGCGTGGGCAAAAACGGATCCACTATAGCGGTACGTACACCACCTCCAGTATATAATAGACATGCGTTATTATATTATATATTGTCTCTTTCTCAACTATAAATACATGTGTGTTTCAGGGTACGAGCGTGTTATCGCCCGTTCTGCACATCGGCTCGGTTATCGTCCTCGCTATGATGATTTATAAGAAATCAACCGTCCAGCTGTTCCAGAAACACCCCTGTCTGTATATTCTGGCCTTTGGCTTCGTTTCGGCCAAAATCACCAATAAACTAGTGGTGAGTAAAGACGCTCGCCGATACGGCCTTCGTTTCTGACGCGCATCTGAGCCGCTGTTTGTCTCGTCAGGTGGCTCACATGACGAAGAGTGAGATGCATCTTCACGACGCGGCGTTTCTGGGTCCCGGCCTGCTGTTTCTCGATCAGTATTTCAACAGCTTCATCGACGAGTATCTGGTGTTATGGATTTCTCTGGTGAGATCATGTCACCTCAGATTCGCGCTGAAGTCACATATTACGGCTCATAACTGTCGTTTTCCGTTTGTTTTGACCCGGATTCCGTCGTTTGCCGTTAGTTTTGACCAGATTCTGTCGTTTGCTGTTAGTTTTGACCAGATTCTGTCGTTTTGACCCGGATTCCGTCGTTTGCCGTTTGTTTTGACCCGGATCTGTCGTTTTGACCCGGATTCCGTCGTTTGCCGTTAGTTTTGACCAGATTCTGTCGTTTTGACCCGGATTCCGTCGTTTGCCGTTTGTTTTGACCAGATTCTGTCGTTTTCCGTTTGTTTTGACCCGGATTCTGTCGTTTTCCGTTTGTTTTGACTCGGATTCCGTCGTTTGCCGTTTGTTTTGACCCGGATTCCGTCGTTTGCCGTTAGTTTTGACCCGGATTCCGTCATTTGCCGTTTGTTTTGACCCGGATTCCGTCGTTTGCCGTTTGTTCTGACCCGGATTCCGTCGTTTGCCGTTTGTTCTGACCCGGATTCCGTCGTTTGCCGTTTGTTCTGACCCGGATTCCGTCGTTTGCCGTTTGTTTTGACCAGATTCTGTCGTTTTCCGTTTGTTTTGACGCCGTTTGTTTTGACCCGGATTCTGTCGTTTGCCGTTTGTTTTGAACCAGATTCCGTCATTTGCCGTTAGTTTTTACCAGATTCTATCGTTTTTCGTTTGTTTTGAACCAGATTCCGCGTTTGCCGTTTGTTGTTTGTTTTGACCAGATTCTGCCGTTTGCTGTTTGTTTTGACCAGATTCTGTCCCTGTTCGATCTGGTGCGCTACTGCGTGAGCGTCTGCAACGAGATCGCGTCTCACCTGCACATCTGCGTCTTCAAGATCAAGCCACAGAGCACAGCGGAGGCCGTCGAGTGACCCCTGACATATGGTTTCATCTTCCTGCACTTTCAGCCTCATACTAAACCAGAGCCAATGCATCCTGATTTACACCATTCTGCGCTTAGACTGAAGGAAGAATTCAGGAAGAAATTAAAATGTGCTTAAATTCTTCATCAGGGTTGGAGAAATATAGTGCAGTGAATGGGTGCCGTCAGAATGAGAGTCCAAAAAGCTGATAAAAACATCACAGTAATCCACAAGTAATCCATGTAATCTTGTAATCCAATAAGTACTTCGATTAATCTTGAGAAGACAAAAGCTGCGCATTTGTAAGAAACAAATCCATCACTAAGGTGTTTTTAACTAAAATACGAGTCAAAATCCATAGTAACCCTATAAAAAGTCTGAATCAGGAGAGAAATCTGCACAGATCTTTCTTTTGTCTTCTCCAGATGTTAACTGATGGACTGGAGTGCTGTGGATTACTTGTGGATTATTGTGATGTTTTTATCAGACTCTCATTCTGACGGCACCCATTCACTTGCAGAGCATCCATTGCTGAGACACTGATGCAATGCTACATTTCTCCAAACCTGATGAAGAAACAAACTCATTTTTGGCTGAACTGTTCCTTTAACGCAGTTTCTTCTTCTCCAACGAACGAATAAATTAACAAACTAACGAACGAACTAACGAGTGAGCGAACTTCCGAAAGGTCACTTTTCTTTAGGTCATTATTTTAATGAGATTGGAAATGTTTCTCGCTCTGAATTACCCATGATGCATTGGGGCCGTCGGGGTCTGTATTATCGTTTTAACGACTCGTTCTCACGTGTTAAAAATTGGATTAAACAAGTGAAGTCAGCTCAATGATGATTTTGTGGCTGCTAATAATGATTTCCTATTACTTGTTTACGTGCGTCTGTATTTTGTGTTTAGCTCCATCTTTTGTGAAATAATCAGGCCGTATTTTTCCCCCTCGTCACTCCGTTTCATCGTCAGCTGGTTTACGGTTTCTCTGAAGGATGTTTTGTTTGGTTTTAGATGGAAAGCACTTAATTTATTGGTTCGTCCCTGAATGAAATCACAGTCTTTAGCTGGTTTGTGTTGAGTTTTCATTCGTTTAGATTGTCGTGTCTCACGCTGTGCCTGCTGGGTCAATCTCACAATGTCATGTTTCGCACTAAAATTAAAAGGAAATATATTTAGAAGGACAATAAAATCCATTTTTAAGCACATTATTTTAACAACAATTTAAATACAATAATACAGTATTTTTTGTAATATTACAATCAGTATAAATAGAATTTAATACAAAAATACTGCCATTATGTGCTTAAAATTGTACAATTTAAATAATATTTACCATTTTTTTGTGATTAAGAATTCGTCGTAGAAATAATAGTAGTCCTAAAATGCGCTTCTAAATATAATTTCTTGTTTATTTTTTTTGATTTAGGGCTGAAATATGACAAATTTGTTGAGATTTACCCTGTTTTATGTCTGGAATCTTCAGACGTTAAAATCAAAAATGCCAATCGTCGTAGAAATAATAGTAGTCCTAAAATGCGCTTCTAAATATTATTTCTTGTTTATTTCTTTTGATTTAGGGCTGAAATATGACAAATTTGTTGAGATTCACCCTGTTTTACTTTGCTTCATTATGTCTGAAATCTTCAGACGTTAAAATCAAAAATGCCAATCGTCGTAGAAAGTTTGAAGACATTTTAACACACTTAAAGGTGTCTTCTTTGTCTTTCCTGCGGCGTCGCCAACTTCCTGAATAATTTGCTTATGTTTGCACCAGATTTTGAGCTGAAGTTGTATGTTGAATTCTCTTCTAATGTTCACTAAAGTTCATTACTGATGACGTTTATTCCTAAAGTATCTCTAGTGAATCGATCTGTTAACGGTTGCCTTTAATATATATAAAGTTTTGACATTTGCATGCCGTTTTGCTTATTTTCCCGAATTCTTTATTTCTAAACATCCCTCTCAGGCGATTCATATAATATACAAATAAATAAATAAATAAAGATGTAATAAATGGTAGTTTGTAGAAACAGCTCGATGCTGCCACCCAGAAAACAAGTTGAAACGACTTTTGAGAAGTTTGTGCAATTGATGTTATTAACGATCTTTTATTCGCAGATTAAACTTCGGAGAGGAGCTCTAATAGTTGATTTCCACTTTACGAATCTCTGTTTTACTGCTTCATCGTCTGCTGTTCTTCCATATCTTGGATCCGTATCGTATCGTATTCGTACGTTTGTCTGTTCACACTTAACCATAAGCTTTGATTCGATTCGTTAGACGTCGCTTGTTGCCAAATCCTTTCTGGGAGTTTCTCCACTTTAACAAGAGACGGCAGATTTAAGCGCTAATTAAATCTCGCGGATGGAAACGTCCGATTATATCTTTGTTTGTTTGTTTTTTCTGTCATGACAGTCAATAAAAAACCGCCTGTTTCTGACTCGTAACAAACTCTTGGTCTGATTGTAACATTGCTCTGATTTTTTGAATAAAAGCACCTGTAAAATAAAGATTGCTATATTTATGATAACTGGTGTTTTTTTGTTTGTTTGTTTGTTTGTTTGTTTGTTTTGTTTTTAAGTACTGAAGCAAAAAGTAACTTACCCAAAGCTTATTGAACATGTATTGTACAAATAGGCGACAAACTTACAAAAATACAGCTGAATGTAATAGGATCTTTACAGTATCATTACAATATATATGAATATTGTATATTTGGCTTTGTTGTTCTGCTGTTTTTTTGCTCTTTTTACATTGACTATCACTCTTTATAGATAAAACAATTTCTCAGATATTTATTACAATATACACTGATAAACTGAACATTCACTATGATATGAAAGTTTCCGTGTATTCGTAGATCAACTTTGAATAAAGAAAAGACAGAGCCAGGTTTTTGTTTATGTACGTGAAATTACGAATTAAGTTATATTTTCCTATATTCTCTTTTAAATAGTCAAACAATAAAAAAATAAATAAAACCGAAAGATAACATGAATATTTAAATAAATCAAAATGTCTCTGTGGGTATTAGCATATTATTGCGCCTGAGGGGGAGTTTTCCCGCGCTGGCGACCCGCCGAGCAGCTCTACATCCGGGTTTTTCCCGCGGGTCTCATGAGTTTGGGCGGAAATGAGCGGCGAGAGTTGATGCGCGAGACACTGAAGATAAACAGCACTTAAAATGAACTAAATCCGAAATTTGAGGGGATATACAAACATTAAAGAATGAAAGAGTCATTCTGTGGAGATGTAAAATGCCTGTTTAGACTGAGGGACGATCGTCTGTTTGATTGACAGGTAGCGTTAAGCTTTTCCTCACTGACATAAAAACATACTATTTTTAAATCTGACTTTATCATCACATACAGATTTGACAGAAGCAAAGACAAAAGCAATAATACAAGATAACATGCGCTTTAAAATCACATTTTCTTTGTTTGGAATAGAAAGTGAAACTAAAGAAATCTGTTGCTGCTTTATTTGATTGAATTCCGCTTTTATTGTTTATTCTTAAAATCTCTCCAAATACTTGTACAATTTAAGCACGTACCATTATAAAATATCCTTACTATGCAAATACCATGGTAACGCTACTCAGTCACTGATATTCAAGCTATCAAACATATAAGAACGTTTCGCTAACGTTCCCACAACGTTATGGAAACGCTATTTATGAATGTCCGGCAAACGTTCAAAACGTCCCTTTTTTTTTTTTTTAAACGTTTTTATTCAAACGTTAAAGAAACATTCCATATTGTGCAAACATTATGGGAATGTTACTTCTGAATGTTCTCTGAACGTTCTGAAACAATAGTAACATTTAAAAAGTGATCTGAAACATTCAGGAAAGTAACGTATGAAAAAACTGTATAAATAATGTTTTTGTGCTAATGTTTTGAGAACATTATTAAAGACCACTGGAGGGCCAGTTGCATAAACTGTTTAGACTAGTCTTAAAAAGTTAGTCATTCATTTTTTTTCTTCAAGACTGGTCGTAACTTTAAATTCCGTTATGAAAAGGTAGATTGGTCTTATTTGTATTGGAAAACTAGGACTGATTTGCCCTTGGCAACTTCTAGTTGGTCAAACTAGTTCTTAAGACACAGTCTTAACTTAGTAGCTAAGTTTATGCAACTGGCCCCAGGGGGCTGTTCCATAAAACAAGTTTACAAAAATAAGCCAGGCTTATTTCAGTTAGTCTGACTTATTGTCAGTTGATTTGGTTAAAAACAAGTCAGAATATGTAAACTTGTTTTATGGAACAGGCCCCAGATAATGTTACTAGAAGAATGTTCTCATAACATTGAGAGAACATACCAGAATGTTCTGAGAACGTTCCCTATTAGCTGGGTCCATATCTAATGGTTTTATCAAGCTGAAAACCCTGGTGCTTTTTTATTTGACTCTTTTCTCTAGTTTCAGTGTGTGAATGGTTTTATTAACATTTTGTGAAGGTTACGCTCTCACAGCAGAAGTGAAAAGCAGAAACTCACCCATGATGCTCTGAGAAGAGGAAGCGCGGCTGACTGGTAATATTTGGCATGTTTTAGGCGTGTTTTAGGCATGTGGTGGTTTCAGGAGGGTTTGTGCGTCTTGCCCGTGGCGCTGGTTATCTGGACCGCCGCCACCTTCATCTTCGCTTACATCACGGCCGTCATCCTGAGACACGTGGACCCGCTGGTGCCCTACATCAGGTGAGCACAGACCGGTGTCATCATGTGACGGCGTGACCTCTGACCTCTGAGTGACCTTCGTTTTGCACTTACAGTGACACGGGGACGGTCGCGCCGGAGAGATGCGTGTTTGGACTCATGCTGAATGTGTCTGCGTTTTTAGGTACTGAATGACCTCTGACCTTACACTGACCTTAATTATGACCCCTAGCTTTACACTGACACGAAAATATGATTACGAAACTAAACCATTAAAAAAAAAAACTTTTGGTTTGACTGTATGCTAATGCTAACATGCGAACAGTACGGGAAGGGGGTGTGTTGCATCAAGACACAATGTTATGAAGTGGTAGGGTGTGGCCTTTAACCCCGTTTCAGTGATGTAATGCTGCGTGTCTCCTGCAGGTGTCGCTACTATGTACGTGCGCTATAAGCAGCTTCATGCCCTCGTGGACGTGAACGACACTCGTCTGAACTGCCTTAATCTGATGGGGTTCGTTCTGGGCTGCGGAAGTTCGTTCGGCATGTGCGTCGTCGCAAACTTCCAGGTACGTACACTGAGCGTAAAAACCTGTTCACACTGAAACGTGTGTTTGGAATGAAAATTAGGTCCGATTTGTCGATTTGCAATCTGTCGAATTGATGCATGCAAATGTTTTTGTTGACGCATTAACAGACGTTAGTTCAAATAAAAATTAAAAAAAATAAAAATTTGTACCGAATTCTTGCACCAAATGTTTGCCTGTTCCCAAAACGAATGTTCGGCATGAAAATTTGCTCCGATTTTCACATTATGTTTGGGTAAAAAAACTGCAAAAACATGTTTTCAGTGTTTTTATTATGATGTTTTATTTGCTATGTTCTTTATCAAACAACACCAAATAAAAGAGCACATGACCAAAAAGCGCATATCTTATTGGTTCAGCCCATTTTCTTTGCAGCGTGATGAAAAAAAATGAAGAGAGCTTAAAAAATCAGTTGCATTGTCAGCATGGGAATGTTCGCATTGGTCTGAACAAACGCAGCAGCTGTTCATTCGAATTAAAATGATTATTGCAATTAAGAGTCCCACAAATGTTTGCATGTTTGTGCATAAAGTTTTGCATGAAGTTGTGGTATTGTGGTACGATTTTTGCATGTGATTTGTCTGTTTGGACCAATGCGCAAAAAATTTGCATGAAAATTCTATCCGATTTTTGCATTCAATTTGTCGGTTCAGACCAGTGTGAAAAAAGTTGCATTGACGGCATGCAAATATTTGCGTTGGTCTAAACAGACAGATTTTCAGGTGTTCAATCAAATCAAAATGTTTATTGCACTGAGTTTTTGCATTAAGTTTCAGTCCAATTTTCTCATTCGATTTGTTTATTCATACCAATGCGTAAAAACAGTTGCATTGTTGGCATGTGAATATTCGTGTTGGTCTGAACAGACTCGACAGCAGTCCGTTCAAATTAAAATGTTTATGCACCAAATTTCCACACGAAGATTTAGTCTTATTTTCACATTCAATTTCTCTGTTTGGACCAATTTGACCAACAAAAAAACACCGACAAACATTCATACCCCATCAATGCGACAATGCAGTCTTAACAAATTCGTTCAAATTAAAATGTTTATTTCAGTGACTTTTCGCATTAAGATTTGGTCCAATTTTCACATTCAATTTATCTGTTCAGACCAGTGTGCAAAAAACCGTTGCGTTGTCGCATTGGTGGCATGCGAATATTCTTCACCATTATAATTCTTCGTTCAAATTTAACTGTTTATCGCACAGAATTTTCGCACCAAATGTTGGCATGAAAGTTTTGTCTAATTTTTGCATTCGATTTGTCTGTTCAGACCAACGCACAAACAAACTTTGCATTGTTGGCATGTGAATAAAAATTTTTTTGCACTGGATTTGCATAAAAAGTCAGTCCGATTTTTGCATTTGATTTTTCGCTTCACCAGTGTACAAAAAAGTTGCATTGTCGCATGCGAATATTTGTGTCGGTCGGTCTAAACAGACCGATTTACAGCCATTCATTCCAATTAAAAAGTTTATTGCACCGAATCTTCGCTCCGAACATTGTGTGTGTGCCGTGTCTTTCCCAGAAAACCACTCTGTTTGCGATGCATCTGGTGGGCGCCATGCTGACGTTCGGCGTGGGCGCTCTGTACATCCTGGTCCAGACGCTGCTGTCGCACCGCATGCAGCCGCACATCCACAGCAAAACCATGTTCTGGACGCGGCTGAGCGTCTGCGTCTGGACCTTCGCCAGCATCATCAGCAGTATCCTTTAAAACGATAGTTCACCCAAAAACGAAGGTCTTGCGGGTTTGTAACGACACGAGGGTGAGTAATTAATGACAGAATTTTCATTTTTGGGTGAGCTAAACGGGCTTTAGCGTTGAGCGTTGTCGGTTGCTTCCTTGATTCGCTCAGTGTTCGTGTCGTCGGTCATCATGTACAGCACTCTGTCAGGAACCGAGGTCAACCAGAAGCTGCACTGGACGCCTGGAGAACCGGTGAGTGCGTTATTTCACTGCAAGGATTGCGTGTCGAGTGAGTCTCTGATTGCGCTGTTTTTTCTTCTTCAGGGTTTCACGCCGCACATCGTCAGCACCATCTCCGAATGGTCTCTCGCTCTGTCCTTCATCAGCTTCTTCCTCACCTACATACGAGACTTCAAGGTAAAGCGTCTCACATCGGATGGTAGAAACCTGTCGAGCGTGTCTCCAGAGCTGGGTAGATTACTTACAAATTGTAATCCGTTACCGATTCCAGATTACATGATAAAATTGTAGTCAGTAACGTAATCCATTACATTACACACTACTTTTGGATTACTTTTGAGCGGTCTCGTTTTCACACTGACTTAAATAGGATGGTCTTGTACCATATTGATATAAAAATACAAAGAGTGAAAAGATATATTCCATTTGTTGTTATTAAACATTACATTACGCCAAGGTTTGTGAAGGAACTGCAGGGGGTTTGCGAGTTTAATGAAAAGCGAATAATTACATAAATCATAAAAATGTGACATTAAAATCAATCAAAATTTTAAAAAACATAAAGAAAATGAAATATTTTATTTGTTTACCTGCATGTCATGTGACCATAACCAACGTCGGAGAACCAGTGAACATGTAAATGTGATGCTTAATAATTAAAATATTTATTTTAAAATCTTCAAGTAAATATATTAGGTGAAAGAGGATCAGATGAGAAAAAAAGTTTGTGCATTTTAATGTGTTTGAAAGACAAAAGCCTTCCAAAGACATAGAAACACATAGTTAAATAAGCTACAGAGTGATAATGCAAATAAAAATGAATGTGCTCATCAGTAGTTGATGCGATGTTGAAACACTTCTTAAACCTGAAATGATTTTTGTAAATCCAGTGCTCAAATGCTGTGTAAACCTGACTAATGTCTGATCTCTGAGTGAATGTCCACAAAACTGGAGACTTTCTGAGTGTATATAAACTGTAGGCTATTTTAGAAAGGAACATTTAAAAAATGAAAAAGAGGAATTAGGGAGAATCTATAAATTATGGACGATTCATTGCATTTGTGTGCAATTATATGTAATGGTGTAATCCATAAAAAAGTAACTGTAGTCTGATTACGAGTATTTT